TTTTTAAGAGTAGGAAAGATTTATTGAGAGAAAGACAGCTTCTGTCTAAGAAGGGGGACCAGAAAGTGGGTTGCCTCCTGTAAGGAAATTCTTGGCTGACAGGATCATTAAATTACATACTTGCATTTTTCATTTTTTAAATTTTTATTTTCAGTACATTAGATTTACTCATAAAAACATTCTAAAAGTGTACAATTTTTCCTTTTTGACAAAGTATAATAAAACAGATAAACCCCAACACAGAATACTTGACATTTACAATTCAAAATCAAATAAGCAGATTATTTACAAAACTGTTTTTTAAAAATATTTATAAAGTTACATGCAATTTTGTAAAACTGACAAAAGAATGGCTAAAAAATGCAAGTTTTCTTTCGTTCCTAAAAACCAAAAAAGTATCTCCAATAGAAGCCATGAAGGTCTGCCGTCTTAGTACCAAAGCCATCTTTGTGTGCACAAAAGAACACCTGACAAGGGCTTGTCAGCCCCCAGAGGCGGGAGCCTGGCTGGGGACACTGCTTCCGCCTCCAGGCAGCAAGGGAATGTCTTGGACTTTGACCTGCATCTGCACAGTCTGTGGCTTTTGAATATTGCAAGTGTAGTTGAAAGATGCTCGCAGTCATGCAGGCCATTGGCACTGTTTGACAGTCCAGCCTCTTTAGACCCCATGGTTTTGTGTCACCTGACTTGTTCTTCAGGAGTCACCTGCACTTCAGAAAGGACAGCCCACCCAGCTTGGTTCCCTTGGTTCCCTTGGGGACGAGGCTTAGCAAGGAGATAGTTTTCCTTACAATCTTTAAAACTTCAGCAAGGTAATCCCACCAGCATGTAAACTAGCAAGACATCAGGAAGCAGGAAGAGGCCAGGAGAGGATGGAATGAGGTAAGGTATCCAGGGTCACCCGGTTCCCTCTGCTGGACCAGTGACCATGTAGTATGACTTCCTGGAAACAGGGCCAGTCTTGCAATCCATGCTGCTTCTGCCAACAAACCATGGACATACTAAACTGTGGTCCCAGCTCTCAAACTGTGGTTCCAATTATCAATTTTAGCAAAGGCAGGGAGCTTTGAGAAGGTTGCCTGTCTGGTACCTCCAAAATCTCATAGTTATTTATCATTTGTAGGCTCAGATGGGACGAGGATCCTGCCATTCAAATGTCCAGCCCTTTCAAGCTGTAACTTTCCCACTAGGTCATCACTAAATTCCACTACAAAGGTACATGATAGCGTCGTTCTTTCCTAGAACTACATTATTTTCGAAAGTGCTATTGTTGAAGCCCTATTGCTGTGGTAACCCCATCTATGTGATGTTAGTGGGTAAGAAATGTGAACTCCCAGCTCTTCCATTTACCAGCTGAGTGGCTTGAGTTTCCTTCTGTTTTCTCTTGTGTATAATGGGGTAAATAGCAAACTCATCAAATTGTTAAGAAACCCTATCCCTAAAGTTACTGATGATAAGCACTTAACTGTTAGCTAATTAACAAAGCACTCTTTTCATCTGATCCTATTTGGTGGGGATTAACATCCCCATACTTATCTATACATCAGTGAGACATACACAAGGGAACTAAGTTGCTCAAGATCTCACACCTGAGACGCTGTAGGGCGAGCAGTTGAATCCAGTTCAGGAAACCTCCAAACCCAGAAGATAGAGTACAGTAAGTGCAGTAAGTTTGGAAGTCCTAATTATACACCCAAAGTCAAACTGGGTCCTGACCTGAAGCCTCCTCCTCCAGCACAGGAGTGGGACGGTGGCTCTGGTGCTCCCTCTGGGCATCTTTTTGGGAACCAAGAGCATGGGTGGATTTGTTTACAGGCTTCATGTGCTGGACTCTATCTATTGAACTGGACTATTCTATTGAACAAAACAACTCTATTGATATTTTCAACTATTTTAATTTAATGCCAACATTTATTTCCATGATTTCAGAATGTCTGTTTCAATTTTTCATGTCGGGGGCTCTGGCACCTGGAAAACAGGGAGTCTAGACTAGGACAGGTGTGAAAAGAGAAGCTATGGCATTTTAACCTCTGCCAGACACAGAGCTCTCTTCAGTTTCAGTGGAAGGTGTTCAGGTTAACACTAGGGCCCAGAGATCCCAGTCTTTCCATCTCAAGGACTTTGGCCCTTTCCCTAACATGCTTTTCCGATTACCTAAAAGGCTCAGCACAACGCAATTATGATAACTTTTTTCCAGTTTTGATTAATCACTTAGAGCTTCTACTTAGCATGTGCTGGCTTACAAATCCATCAGACATAGTTAGAATTATATCCTGCAGCAAAAGGGAAATGGAAAATTATTTGGGATAAGGTAACCTTAACTCAGGTAAAGATCTAATTTCTCAGGCTTTTGGAATTACCATGAACAGCGCAAAGTCTACTAGGGCTCAGCAAACAGCAGTCTAGGAACACCTATTAAAAAAAAAAAGAAACCACAAAACATGGTATATAGGGCCGGGGATTTAGCTCAATGGCACCACACCTGCCTTGCAAGTGCAAGGTCCTGAGTTTAATCCCCAGTACCGGGGGGGAAAAAATGCATGGTATATGCATATAATGAAATTATTTTTCCGTCTTGAGAAAAAAAAGGAATTCTGGCATGCTAGGCACCAATGAATCTTGAGGACATTGTACTAATTGGAACAAGTAGGTTACAAAAAGACAAATACTGTGTGATTCTACTTAGATAAGGAACATAGTCAAAATCGTAAAGACAGAAAGTGGAATGGTGGTTGCCAGGGGCTTGGGGGAAGGGAGTTATTTATTAATGGGCAGACAGCTTCGGTTTTGCAAAGTGAAGAATTCTGGAGGTGAAGAAAGGTGATAGATGTAAATAATACCACTTAATACCACCTATTGTCCATTTAAAATGGTTGATGGTAAATTTTGTTATGTGTATTTTACCACAATAAAAATTGGAAAAAAGAAAGCAACAGCTTGAACACTGTGATTCTCAGCGATGGTATTAGCATTGCATCAACGAGCCAAAAGCAGCTACATAATAGATGTTATACATCTTTACAACCAACTCCCAATTTTCCTTCCCTTCCTTCTGCTGAATGAAGCCTCTTCTTGTTCTGCTACTAAAAACTAGCATCTTCTTATAAATCACCGGCTCAGAAAATTCGATGGCTTTCACCTATCTGTCCAAAGAAGACCATGGCTAGACAGATGGGTTCCACAGAGAATGCGTCCCTTACCACTGAGGTGCTCCCCCCACAGGGCTGCAGCAACCCCCTAGGGAAAAGAATATGTACACCCACACACATAGCAACAGAGAAACGGATTTCTCTTCCAAATTAAAAGTATGACTTTTTGATATTATTGGTACCACCACCCTGAGTATCAGGGAAAATTCTACTATAGATACTGTCATCTTTAATTTCTCTCAAATGAAACTGAGATGAAAATACATTTCAGAACTGAAGACAACTGTTTCTAACAATAAGCAAATTACAGTATCTAAGAAAACATTATCATTCCCAATAAAATGCCATGTTAGAACTTATAAGAGTTGCCAGTGCCTGCCTGGGAAGCACAAGGTACTGAGTTTGATCCCCAGTTCCACAAAAAAAAGAAAAAAAGAAAAAAGAAAAAATGTATGAGTACATTCACCAATATTTTGATCTAAGAAATATTTTATAAATATACATACTTTCAGCATTTGACACTCTGGAAAAACTATACAGTGTGATCAAAAAGTAGCGTGAATTTTTTTTTTTTATTACAGAAAATACATTGCCATTGTCTTTATAGTGGTGTGGCTGCCTGATGTTCTGAATTGATTCAAAATGTTTACTTTTCATGGTCATTTTGACTTTGCAGAAGAGACAGTAGTTGCACAGTGCCAGATCTGGTGAACAGGTGGATGAGGACACATCATAATGTAGTTACAAGCTCGCCTTTCCACTGGATGGCACTCAGCAGCAGCATTCACTGCATTTTTTTTATCACACCCCGCAGACACAAAAGAGGACTTCCAGAACTGCTTCAGAAAGTGACCAAATGATAGCATAAGTGTGTTCGAAGAGAAGGGGAGTATTCTGAGGGGGGATTAATGGCAACATGTCTTTTACTAAAACAAATTTTATTTAGACATTCACCATATATTTTAATCATATCTTGGATTTTACAGCAGGATTTTAAAAGGTATTTAACTGTTCAAAGAATATTTTTTCATAAACAGGCTTAACCGTGTAAGAAGGATATCTTAAAATTGTCTCCTAATTTACATATACCATCATTTTGTGATTCTGATGGACAATTAGGCACTTCAGAGGTCTGTCACTTTCTCTTTAGGGATTCTGGCTTGGAGTCTTAAGGTCCCAGAGCGTTCTACCTGTGAGCAATTTCTGAAATTTCCTAGAGACTAACAGCAACTGAATGCTTACACTGGTATAGCAAAATGGGCTAAATGACAACAAAAACTTTTACTCTGGGTTGGATTTTATCAACTGAATGCTAGTACCTCACTGTGATTACAAAGGTCTTTAATTTTCAAACAAAATTTTCTTTATTAAATCCAATTTATCAAATGAATTCTTACCAAACAGGTTTGGAAATAAAAGCTAAATGGATTGAAAGCCACGGTGTGCACTCAGAGAGTGGGAGAAAGAAGAGGCAAAATATTATCTATGGTTTTAGAGACAAAGAACAGAATGAGCAAACGTTTCATCCAAGATGTCTGGTTTCTGATTTCTTTGACTGTTCTCCTGTACCAGCTGCCTCTGAACAGAGATCTGCCTGATGGGAGTCACAGGCACTCTCCGTAAAAGCCACCAAATACCCAAAATGACAATCACCAGGACAGAAATACCTTGAAGAAAACAAGCCGAAGCCAATTACAGGATCTTGGATCTGAATGACTACATGGTTGGATGAGTAACTGTCAATCCAAAAAAAGAACACAATCTCCACAAGACAAATTTTCTATGTATTTACTTGCAGGTCTAAAGGCAGAGAGACTAGGGCCCTAACAGAGAAGTACTGGCAATCAGACTCAGTATAAATGAATTAAAAAGTTTATTAGTTATAGGAAAAAACCAGATTCTTCAAAATCAATTCTTGTTAAGTTCCCTGTGAAACAATAAGCTTACAGAAAATTTCTTTCTCATGAAGAGAAAATTCACTATACTTTTGGTCCAAGATATACTGAGTTTTTTTCTTCTTCTTCAGATGACAGATGGATGTAGCCAAATCTACGAACGAGTGTACTTGCCCCAAATGTGCAACATAAATACAGAAGCGATGAACAGAAGACTCATGACCAATACTGGAACAGGGCCACTAGAAATAAGAAGAGAAGGCATGCTTACTTCAGTAATAATATATTATTATATTTAATACAAAAAATGGTGTAGGGGCAAAGTGAGGAGAAGAAGCACTTAGAAATCATTCAGGAACATTATTTACATCATTTAAAAATACTGTCCAAGTAATTATTGTGGTTATTTTGAGAGTGTCATGACAGCACTGTGGCTGTGTTTATGAAGAGTCCTTATCTTCTAGTCAAACATACCAAAATATATACAAATGAAATGATCTGATGTTTTGGAGATAATATAATTTACAAAGTGTTTCTTAAATAGATCTTAAATAGATCTGTACTACAAATTCATGACACAGGCAAGACAAATATTAATCTCATACATAAGCAAAACAATTAAGGCTCAGCAGGATCGTTACTTGCCTAAAAACACATAGCCAGAATAGAAAGGTGAGACTTGAACTCAGGTTTTCTGATTCCACACATACTGTTCATTTTACTGCCTCAAGGTTTCCATCTTCAGAGAGCAAATGTTCTAGCCAGCATGCTTCGGTCTGACTTGTGATTTTAGTGTAGGAAGGAAATAGATTTTAATCATCTGCCCTTAACTAAACCAAATGCTTTTCCACATAAGGTATATGGGTTTTACAGGGTAAATTCCTTGAATGTTTACTTTAGGCACCATCTCTTTGACTCTTCTTGCCTGTACTAACTTTGGAGAATTCAAGCTATCTCATTTCACCTCCCAGATACAACTGGGGAGTAGAGTGGGAAGAGGAATCTTTATAATCATCAAGGCAATGGAGTGAATCCTACAAAGGCAGCAGGGCTAAGAGAGACCAGGTTTTGTTGTATGGACAACAAACAACGCACAGAGATTAAAATCTTTGTTACTGCTACTACTTTGTTCTTCCAAAAAATTTTTAATTAAGAGAGTAAAAAGTTTAAACAAATATGGGAAGAAACCATCATATTGCACTTGACCATACTCTCTTACTTTAAGGTAATGTTACAGCAACATCAGCCACAGAGCACAAAGCTGAGACTTCAGCTATCAGAGTCACATGTTGGAGTCTGGAAACCAACTCTGATGTACAAGCTGAGACTGTGGCCCTTACTTTCTTCAAGTCTGTCTCCTTATCTGTGTAGTGGGGATAGTCACAGTGCCTATCCCATAGGACTGCTGAGGGACTAAGTACATGATACATATGCAATGCAGGTTTACAGTAAGCACTCAGGAAATATTACCAACCTAAAAAAAATTCTAAACCCCTAGAAAAAGCTAAAAACAGGTCCTAAGACGTTGCTTGACTGCTCTAAGACATGGATTTGTGGATAAGAACTCACCTACAACACCTATCTCTGATGTGATGAGAATGGGGCTGATTCCTGGGAGGGCTGAGCCATGGCAGCCGACCAGCCCAGCTGTACAACAGCAGGAAGCCTAGGGCAGGCACAAGTCAGACTCACCCACAGGAGAATGGGTTTTCCCATCTTTTCAAGAATGGTTTAAAACGATTCCCTGGATATCCCAAAGAGCAAGGAAATTAAAAGTCACCTCTAATGAAGACCAAAAAGCTGTCAGTCACAATATCACTAATCCACATAACACCAATCCCAAAAATTACTTCCTAAACACATCCTTACAAGTCTCCAATAAAAAAAAAAAATCAATCAATTAAACCAAATCTCAAGGACTCTAGGGAAGCTTTCATAAAACTAAGTTTATAATCCAAGACAAGCGTCTGGTCAAATCAGGCTAATCCAATTTTCTACTAGACAGGCAGTATGGAAAGAGTATGAGACTTAATAGTTAAAATAACTGGTACCTTGCTGTTTGTCTCTAAGCTCATCACTTGTCTCTCTGAACCTGTCTCCATGGCTATAAAATGGTGTATTTCCCACGTCACAGGATTGCTGGGCATATCAAACTAGAAAATAGCTATTAAAGTTATTTGCAAAGAACCAAGTGCTATGCAAATGAGATTTGCTACTGTTAGTCTAATTCCTTATCCACTGGGATGAGTCAAGAAACAGCTGTGAGCAGCGGTGTTCTGGAGCCCACTTTGATCAGAAACCTGTGGGATTAGCCTACCATGGTAGCAGAATGGTAAATGAGGGTTCGCAGGCATGGGGACAGGCCTCCTGGAGGCCCACTTCCCACCACATAAGCACTCACAGGCCTAAGAATTTTGGAAGTGATATGTTCACCCTCCCAGGTCCACTCACCATCCTCCCAAGGCAAGCAGGCCATGGAACTTGTGGTAACACAGACTAATTGAAAACTTCCATTAGGGTGTAATAATACCAGCTTATGCCTCTAGGAGAACTCTGAAAAATCACCCAATTCCTATTCAGATGGTTGTCACTATTTCTCACTGTGGGGTAAGAACACCAAATGAAGAGCAATTTCATCTAATTAAGCAGTGTTCCCTCCAGTTCTCTCTGTTCTCATCACTTACTCTGACACAGCTACAGAAAGACCTTCCTTCCTTTTCACTCACTCTATGAAGAGATGTCATTTAGGCCTGAAACTATCTAATTAGTTGATGAATGGCCAAGCTGAAACCAGCCCACCTGCCACAAATAAGTGTCTGCATACTATCCATCTCATAAAAACAAGTGCCAGTCTTAGCAGAGACAGACTGCACTGCCATGCTCTGTCACAGTAGAGAGACACACAAGGCCTGCTCCCAGACTTACACTTTGAGCCCCGGTGAATCTTCTGTGTAAAATCGCCACATGCCCCCAGTACCTGCTGAGGTTGTGCGGCCCGCGCTTCTTGTTCCACAGCTGGCATTTTTCCTGAAGGAGAGGAAAATGTTACCTATACCCTTTTCTTGGAAATCCTTATAATACCATTATAGCATATGCTACCATTATATGGTTAAAGAATCAATAAGAAAAAACTTCAGTGCTAGTACAGATTCAAATTCCTGCTTTTATTTCACAGATCCTAAGTACTATGAAGTATCTACTATATGCCAACGCACACAATATACTTGGTAAGTGTTAGACCCAGCGAGAAAGAACCAACCAGAGACCGATATTAAATCCACACAGGAGTTTATTACCCGCCGGGACCCGAGCCAAGCATTGGATTTGAGCCCCGACTGGGGGGAGACTAACATGTTTTATACACCTTTGAGGCCAACAGTTCCTAGGCTCCCCTATGGGATAGAACTAGCAAAGCAAGCGAAAGGTACAGAAGCCGAACGTCCTGCTGTTAGAACATTTGTAAAACAATAGGTGATTAATTGTTATTTCTAAAGGGACCTTTTAAGGGGAGGAGGTTTCTAAGCTTCCTCCTTCTGAGTTCATCTAAAGGGCAGGCAGGTGGGTTAAGCAGCAATATGGAGTCTGTCTTGCTAACTAGGGTCCTTCAGTAAGTAGTTACCATTTCCCATTTTATATATAAGGAAAATTACGCTCTGCATAGGTTAGGCAAAGTTTCTTAAGACCACATGACCAGAAAGTGGCCAAGTGGAATGTGGACCCAGTTCTGACTCAGAGCCCATGGACTGCTCACAACATCCGGTCTCCTCACTTGGACAGTACATCTGAGTTTCTCTTCACATGGGTTCTGTGCAGGCAAGTAAGAAGCACCTGTTCTAAAAGCCTTAAATCTATATAAGCCATTCTCAAAATGACTACTTTAAAAGATATTTTTAAATTACTGTGTTTACAGCAAGAGACAAAAGACATTAAGCTTTAATTGTATACGAGTACCAGAAATGGAATACGCATTTTAGAGAAAAATACTTCATACTCTGCTTTTGCTATTTTGTTACAATGACCACAGATCTTGCACAGGATGTGAAAAAATGCAGAAAACACCTAACTAGAACTTGTGCCTTCCAAAAGGATCAAGGTTCATGAAATGAGCTGTGTGATCCAGGCAGCCCTGGCCAGCAGAAGCCAACAGCACTGACCAGGAAGAAGCCTAGGGAACGCTTTCCCTCCCACTAGGAGAGCCCCTTCGTCACTGGGGAACCTCACCTAGCAAGTCTCCTCCCACACAGTACTACCTCAGTCTCATCCCCGTGCTAGAGTGGTACAACATGGAAGAAAGTAGTAAGTGGTAAGGAGACGTCAACAGGAATCTTCTTTGGGCCATTTATCACCACCCCAAAAGTCCTAGATGAGGAGAAAGGAGAGGGAATGCCCTGTTCATTACTGCCTCCACTAGCAACTGAATCCCAACACACCTTCCCTTAGACTCCCATTCCAGTAGGTATGGGTTGCTGATGCTGGATTTTTTTAAAAAAGGAAGAACACACAAAGAAATCCAAATGAAAACTCAGTCCCTACCATCTCTTCTCTCTTTCCTCCCACTCTGATCCTAATGGTCACTGAACCCTACCATGGCCTTGGCACCACACCAAATATAAGAACCGCTGGCTACAACCCAGAGAGCCTGCCCTGCCAACTGAATGGAAGAATGGAGTCCTGGTTTCAGTTTGGGATCCAGCTGGAAGAACTGAGCTAACGAGAGAACTTTTATTAGTGGGACAATGATTTGGGTCTATTGTACTATAAGAATTATATTTCAGACACATTAATTATGGGGCACATGGTCACCTTGGCACTTAGAACTCCATTGGTATGATTGTTTCTAAGGGGAAATGATTGTAAATAGAAAATATAATTTTACAGGGATTTAGAGTAACTCATGCACTTAGACATCCACACACAAAGATACACATACATTTAATCTATGGAGCAGATACCTGAAATTTTCTTCCTTCTTCACACAAAAGAACTTAAGTTAGAAGATAATTCTAGTGCCAACATGGCAAGTCATCAGCTGGCTCATGCACGTGCCACTACTCCCATAATTTCTGGGCTCCAGTTCCTGTCTTCAAAGTTGGAATGTCAGAAGCCTTAGGGGAATTAGTGTGGCCTCTTTTAAGACTTCTCACCTTCACTGGCACATAGGCAATGAATTTGAAAACCAAAGGTCTATTTTACCTTTTCTTTCTGGCCAATATATCTTCCTATAACTTAACAAAATGGTGTTCAGATCTAATCATTTACACTTTGTTCTAACACAATGGCATTCTGGTTGTTCCTTGAACAAGCCAAGCTCAATAATCTCATTCTTTATACTTAACCATTCCTGTTGCCTAAGAAGCCTATTTCTGCCCAGACCACTATACGATTTGCTTCCTTGTTTCTTTCAGTTCTCTATCCAAATGCCACCCACTCTGAACACCCTATTTAAAACAACTCTCAACACTTACCCTATACCCACCGCTCTCTATCCCCTACCTAGCTATATTTTTCTTCCATAGCCCTTACTGCAAGAATTACATTACTTATTTATTTGTCTCTTATGGTCTTCCACACTAGAATAAAGTTCAGGGAATTAACAAACCCTGCCTATGTTGTAGTTATGCCTTGTCTTCAGATGCACCCCTCCGCCACCCAGCCTCATGCTTTTTCAGAGGTGGGTGAATCTAGAGTGTTTGACTGATTCATGGTGGGGCTAGGCCCAAGGGCACTAGGATTAAGTGCATGAGTGCTACCCACCCTAAACAGTCTGAATAAGATAAAAGGGCCAGAAAGACCACTGTTATGGTCTCTTGTTGCTTTTACTGTCTTCTGCCTCCATGAACTGTTGCCCCTCTGCCACTGTGCCTTGGAGCCAGTCAATTATGGATTAAAACATCTATGAACTGTAAGCCAAATAAGCCTTTCCTCTAACTTTGGGTGTTGAGTATTTTGTCTCAGCAACAAGAGAAAAGTAACTAACGCAGTTGTTCACAGATATATCCTTTAATCTTAGGCAGTGTTTGGCATGTAGTAGACCCTTAATAACTATTTGATGACTATCTTAATATCTACTACTCCACCATCTTAATTCCCTGATTCCCATTAATCTGCTAGAACACTGTGCAGAACTTCACAGTTTTGCCATTTATAATGCATTATTGCTCCTTTTCATCCTCATAACAACTTCCTTTTACACTATATTAAACAGAACAAGGATTCCAACCAAGGTATTACTACTTCTATTACTTTACTCAGCATAGAGAATGAAAATCTGCTGACTATACAAACCACAGATTTATTGTTAACCACTAGCTTCAACTCTTTCTCAAAGTCATGAGTACAAAGCATAAACATATACTTAGACAACCAATACTTACATTACACTCATGAATACTTAATACTTAACTAGTAACAAACTTCTAGAAAGGAATACTGAAGGTCTCTCAGTACATATGACCATAGTTTGTCTGGTTACATTGTCTCTACCATACTAAATCCTAAAGATCCTATTAATACCTTTAACTTTAAAAGCTCTCGCTATCCATTTCACTTATTATGGGTTATTTCATTTGTATTATGTAAGTTATTTGATTATAATTACATCAGATAAACATACGCTTTCATTTTCTTTAAAAATTTTCATGTAGCCAAACTTCTAGGCCCCAGTACTACTATTTCTCTTTAACCAGAACCATTCCTCCAAGGAAGTATACATGTCTACAGGAAAGAATCCCAGCAAAGAGTCTCAGTCTAGCAACAGGAAAGCACTCCAAATGCATATAATCCAAATCACAGCCTGATGCACTTTCCTGAAACGTCTCAGTGACAGGAAACCCATAATCATTCAGGATAACTCACAGTTCTGTTTCTGATAGTTGTTTACAATTTCCTTCTCTGAGTTGCATTGTTTCATGTATATTCAAATCACCAGTATTAGATTTATGATTATAAATTTAGATTTTTCTATTGAAGCCAACAAGAAAAGCCTCATCACTCTTCACATTCTTACGGATAGTTTTCATGCATCTGTTAAGGCCTTCTCTCTAGATAAAACCTTACTAGGTCCTTCAAAAATCTCAAGACAAAAGGATTACTCAGTTCCTTCATTCATTCGTAATTTACTGCATCAGGACTTATGACAGGAGCTGGAGAAAGACAGGACTGGGGCAGTTTCTCCATCAAAGTACGGCAGAGGAGATAAATACGGAAACATATATGTCTTTACAATGATATGATCAAAATGCTACTAGGAGCAAAAGCAAAGACAATTGCTACTGGTGCCTGCGGATTAGAGGTCTCCAGTGGAAATAACCCTGGGCTTTGTCTTGGAAAATAAAGGAATTAGGGGAGGGGCAGCCAGGGTGGTGAGCTGGTGCGTTCAGAAAACACTAAGTTCACTATTACTAAATCACAGGAGAAAGGAGAAAAGTAGACTGGAAAGATCATCCAAGGCTGTGGTCCCCACACCATCTTTTAACATTTGCCAAAAAGAATCTAACAAAAAACAAAGCAGAAAACTAACAGCTGACTGGATGATGGCCTGAACAGAAGAGAAAGGTAGCAAATAAAAAGTAGATAAGCAAGATTAAGCATTAAACTGGGGCAACAGAAATGAAGAAGGAAAACATTCATGAAAAGGTTTTCCTGTCGAATTCAATTAATGTATGGCGTATGACTGGGGATTAAGAAATCTGAGATGACGCTGAGGTTTCTGGTTTTGGGTAAATTTGTGTATAGCAGTACCATCTGGAAATAAGACATATCTTGGGAAGGGGATGCTAGGGTGTGTCAGAGAAGTTGTGTTAAATTGAGTGTGTACAGTACTTGATTGAAATGAAAAGGCAAAGCTCATGTCCAGAGACACCAGCTTACCTACATTAAGTTGTCCCTGATCCTATTCCAGTTTAATTTTCCTTCTTAAGAAGCGCGAAACTGAGCGAAGAAAATGATGCTCTCCATGGCCACAGCAACTCAGGTTTCTCTTGCCCTCGTGAGTCTTAAGGTCCTGGGGTCTCCTTCCCTGCCTGAATCAAGGAATTCCCGGGCCCCATCTCTCCACGTCTGCAACTCAGCGGCCCGCGGGGATCCTTACCTTTGCCGGACAGTGGATCCTGCTGCCCGGGCGGCAACTGCTTTGCTGGGAGAACGCCCCGAGGAGCCCACGTTAGTGCCACTGGGAGTCGGACCAGGCTAGAGTACGGGGAGACAGACTGTGAGCGTCGCAGACTCGCTCCCGGATCCCCCAGCACCCGCACGAAAGGCTGGGGAAACAAGGGAGCCCCAGAGAAAGGGTAAAGCACAAGGTAGAAAACAGGAGGGATCAAGGAGGTATGGTTGAGGTTGCAGTACCATGCTGGAGGACGAAGAACCGTGACAAGATGAAGCAGACCACTGAAAGGTTGCCGCGCCAGGGAAGGACCCGAGCCTAGGGAGACTGGTTCAGGCCCCACCCCCAGACCCGCTGGCAGGGTCCTCGCAGATTCCCCGGACCTCTGGGTTGTCCCATGATATGCCTGTGGAAATTCTGCTGAAGGCGACCTGACCAGCCGCTAAGTGAAAAGTACAGACCCTCCGTCTCATTCCTTTTGATCACAGCGTCCTTCATATAACTCAATCCCTCCAAAAAGGAGGATATAGCCTAGATCGGGCGACAAATTTTCTTTGGCAGTTACTAAGCCCCCATAGATTTGCGCTGATGTGGCCTAACTGACGCATGCGCGGCCGGGCGGTGTCGGCCCTCAGAGGCCAGCTAGGGTCCGGGGGCGGAGCTTGCGGTAGCCCAGGCGCGGCTCTAGAATCATGGCTGAAACGCTGGGCCAAGACCAAGATGCTGGTACCAACCCGTCGGTGCTGTTCCTGCACCCGGACCTGGGCGTGGGTGGCGCCGAGCGGCTGGTGCTGGACTCTGCGCTGGCGCTGCAGGCGCGCGGCTGTAGCGTGAAGATCTGGACGGCTCACTACGACCCTGGCCACTGCTTCGCCGAGAGCCGGGAGCTGCCGGTGCGCTGCGCCGGGGACTGGCTGCCCCGCGCCTTGGGCTGGGGCGGCCGGGGCGCCGCCGTTTGCGCCTACGTGCGCATGGTCTTCTTGGCGCTCTACGTGCTCTTCCTCGCCGACGAGGAGTTCGATGTGGTGGTGTGCGACCAGGTGAGGGAGCCTGGGGACCCAGAGGGAGACCCTTAGTGCTCTGCGGTTCCGAAAGGTCGCGACTGGCCTGCAAAAGTCCACTGGAAGTGAGACTTGTCGAACTTTAGCATGGATCCTAAAGTTGCAGATCGCAGCCCTACCCTCTTTTTAGGAAGCTTTCAGATGGGGCCCAGAAATAAGCACTTTAATTGGGTTGTCATGTAATTGAAGCAGATGGGACTTGGGGCTCGCGCTCAGGAACACTGGCATTAGAAGTCGGCTGCAGTTATCTCGTACGTCTGAAAAACTCGTTGTTGTCTTCCCATTTTTCTGTTATTTTTGTTGACTTTACTTCTAGGTCCTATGCATACTGCTGTCTGTACTCTCTCCAGCCAGACCACCGCAGTATTCATTATAGTGTCATATATTAAAAGCACCAAAGCTAAATGTGTCATGTCCTATTAAAACTTTAACATGGTTCCCTATTGGTCTTTGGAGAAAAGCCCAAGTTCTGTACCTTGCTAAGTAACGTTCAGCTGGATCTGCCCTATAGCTATTCCAGATATTTTTTTCTTAGATATTTTTCCAACCCCAGATTCTTATTTTAAAAGGTAATACTTCTATTCAGCAATAAAATTCAGACAATATGAAAAGGTATAATGTAAAAGACCAATCCCATTCATCTCCCAGAAGATAGCCACTGTCAAGTTTTCCTGTATCTATCCTAGAAATTGGCTACACCAACATATGTGTGTTTGTTTATAGATACATCTTACTTGTACGTAATTGGGATTATGACATGCCTTCTGTTGTATACTTTTGTCAGCAAAAAACTTGTATTTGGGACATCCTTATGAATCAGTATTAGAGATTCACTTCATTGTAGTGTCTAGGAAGTACACTTTTGTTTGAATATACCATGATTCATTCATTCTTCTGTAAAAGGACACTAACATTGTGACCAGTTTTGTGTTTGTGTATGTGTGTGAATAGATCAGTGTCATCATGAACATCCTTATACTTTTTTGTTTTACACTTCTGCAAGGATGTCATTTGAGTAAATTCCTAGAAATAAAGTTGTGGGTCAAAGAGTAGTTAGTTCGTTTTAAATGTCAGTAACAGTTGCCAAATTTGCCTTCCAGAGTTTTCCATATCCTCTTGTCCACACTGGATGTTGTCCACCATTTTAATCACTGCCAAACTGATAGAAATAGTATCACCCCTTCATTTGTGTTTATTAAATTATGACTCCTGAGTTACTTTTGATCACCTTTACTTATGTGAAAGCCATATCTTTTTAAGAAATGTGAACATTCAGCTGGGCATGGTGACACACAACTGTAATTTCAGCACTCCGAGGCAGGAGGGTTTCAAGTTTGAATCAAGGCTGGGCAACATAGCAGCTTAACAAAACCTTGTCTCAAAAAATAGGTGGACGTTGAGTGGCTCAATACAAAGGCTTTCGGTTCAATGTACTGCAAAAAAAAGAAAAAAATGTTTACCAAAGATTTACCAAACATTCTGCATGTGTCCATCAGTAAGCAGGAAGCAGCTAAGATGTAGTAGGTAGAAAAACAGTGAGACCTGGACGTAGGAGTTCTGGATTTAAGTTCCATACCCACCACTTTATGTAGCTTTGGATGAATTGCACAGTATCCCTAAAGTACAACTTCTTTGGGTATTATTTAAATGAGCAAGGGATTATATAATTTGTAAAGGTTCCCAATAGGATAGTCTCTAGAAATGCCAGCCTGTAATTCATGCTTAGTAATCATTATGATTAATATTTAGCAATAATATAAGCTAAACTTCAAGTTTTACACATATCAGTGTATTTCATAGTCAAAAAAAGCTGTGTTTTAAACTATGATTGTTACTGTGTTACATAAGACATTGAATCCCAGAAAGGAGTAGATTACTTGATCACAATCACACAATTAGAACTAAAATTCAAACCCTGGAAATCTTATTACAGAGTCTGAACTGCTATAGTTTATCTGTTACTACCTTAGGGGGATCAAGATCCTAGTGCTGCACTGTCCAATGTGCCCTTGTGCCTGTTGAATGCTTAAAATATGACCAGACTGAACTGATATGCTAAATTGTGAAATATAAACCTGATTTTAAAGATTTAATATGAAAAAACATAAAGTATCTCATTAAGATATTTAAGTAGTGATTATATTGTGAATTTATTTGGTTATATTTTAGGTAAAGCATGTTAAAATTAGTTTCAACCTCAGAACTTTAATGTGACTGGATTTTTATTTTATTTCTGTTGGACCACACTGTTCAAAAGAAAATCACTGGCCGGGGATTTAGCTCAGTGGTTCCGGCGCCTGCCACACGAGCACAAGGTCCTGAGTTCAATCCCCGGTCCCAAAAAAAAGCAAACAAACAGAAGAAAATCACTAGACATACAACTTTAGGTGTTTAGCACATGTGCTACAAAAGTCTGCCTTCTGTACACCAGTCATTATATTGGGCATAGAGGGGGGAATACAGAGCAGTATTAGACATTCCCCATGAGGAGCCCACACACAAGGCATGGCAGGTATCTATGCTTCTGATTGATTGAAGTTCAGTTGACCATTTTATCTGCTGTTGATTTTACTTTGGGTAGGTGTCTGCCTGTATCCCTGTGTTCAAGCTGGCCAGACGACGTAAGAAGATCCTGTTTTACTGTCATTTCCCAGATCTGCTTCTTACCAGGAGAGATTCTTTTCTTAAACAGCTATACAGGGCCCCAATTGATTGGATAGAGGAATATACCACTGGCATGGCAGATTGCATCTTGGTCAACAGCCAGTTCACAGCTGCAATTTTTAAGGAAACTTTCAAGTCCCTGTCTCATATAGACCTCAATGTTCTCTACCCATCACTGAATGTCACCAGCTTTGATTCAGCTGTTCCTGAAAAACTTGACGACCTAGTTCCTAAGGGAAAAGAATTTCTGTTCCTCTCTATTAACAGATATGAAAGGAAGAAAAATCTGAAATTGGCACTAGATGCCCTTGTACAGCTACGCACACGATTGACTTCTCAAGACTGGGAGAGGGTTCATCTGATCATGGCAGGTGGTTATGATGAAAGAGTCCAGGAGAATGTGGAACACTATCAGGAATTAAAGAAAATGGTCCAGCAGTCTGACCTTAGCCAGTATGTGACCTTCCTGCGGTCATTCTCAGACAAACAGAAAATCTCACTCCTCCATGGCTGTACATGTGTGCTTTATACACCAAGCAATGAGCACTTTGGCATTGTCCCTCTGGAGGCCATGTACATGCAGTGCCCAGTCATTGCTGTCAATTCAGGTGGGCCCTTGGAATCCATCATCCACAATGTTACAGGCTTTCTGTGTGAGCCTGACCCAATGCACTTCTCGGAAGCAATAGAAAAATTCATCCATGAACCATCCTTAAAAGCTACAATGGGCCTGGCAGGAAGAGCAAGAGTGACGGAGAAATTTTCATCTGAAGCATTTAAAGAACAGCTCTACCAATATGTCACAAAACTACTGGTATAATCAGATTCTTTTAAGGTTCTTTATGCTGCATTCACTGACGTTATTTTTATGCATTCTGAGCCCAGTTTTGATACCAGAAGAGATGTTTTAAAAATAAACTTGAGTCTTGAGGGCCAGGGATTTAGCTCAGTGGTTCCAGCACCTGCCTTGAAAGCACAAGGTCCCGAGTTCAATCCCCGGTACCAAAAATAAATAAATAAATTTTTAAAATAAATAAATAAACTTGAGTCTTGAATCTGAACTGCCTTCCTGTATACCACACCTCCCTGTGTACTTTTCAGAAAAAATGGTATCTCTTACACTGTGATTGTTCCAAGTCTTACCATGTTCAGAATATTTTATTTTCTTTGGATCATTGTTGCTTTGCCTATAAATTTTGACTCATACTGTGCCTTAATTAGTTTTGATAGTAAAAGTTGATTAATCTGGTAGAGCACTTGCCTAACACGTGCAAAGCCCTGTGTTCAATCACCAGCACTAAAAAAAAAAAAAAAAAGTTGGTTAATTTGACTTTATAGTGTAATGAGAACAGCGTTTTGGTAGTTTCCAGAATCAAGTGTTCACTGTCATATATTAGTGGAACTTTTGTTGGTCAGACTTTTGCCTGGATTCATAGCAAGAGTGCTTAATTTTTCTTCTTACAAAGATGACATTGTATTTTTTTCACACTGAAGCATGACAATAAAAGATGTTTGGCATGGGAAGAAACAAAAGTTTTAGCCTCCATGACTTATTTTGGCACTATTAGATGAGATATCCAAACCTGAAGTCAAAAAGCTAAAGTGAATATTGACATGAAGAGGGAATATCGTCACACATGCAATGTGCATAGCTTACTGTTCCTGTGACAAAATATCTTAGATAAACAACTTGAAGGGAAGAGAGGTTTGCTTTGGCTCGCAGTTTCAGAGATTTCAGTCCATGGTCACTTAGTCACATGGTCACTGTCTCAATACACAATTTTTTTTATCCGTCACGGCCCAACCTAAATGCCACTGCTCCAAATGAAGCTTGCCTTGACCCTCTGCACACCTCCCAAGGTAGAAGTGATCTTCCACTTCCATATAGTCTAGCCCTTTTATGCTGCTAACCAGTTCTTATAGTTCATTATATACCTATTGGTCTAAGTCCAAACAATAAATAAAGCAATTTTCAATATACCTCTAAAGCTCAATTCACTTTTAAAACTAGCAAATACCACTAGCTAAAGGCCCCACATTAATGAACGCTAAGAACATAGATTTGAGAGCATAACCGCCTATATGACTAGGAAAGGTAATCTGCACCTCAGTTTCTGTAAGCTGGGATCATTGTTCTATTTACTTTCCTCATAGGATGATTATGATGGGTTTCAGTAGTATATACAGAGCTCTTGGCACATAAATACATGTGATAAAAATACAGTGACTTAATTTTTTTAAATGTATCACAGTGAAAGACATTGCCATTAATTCCTCTCACAGCACTCTGCTTTGAACGCTTAGCATTCTTGACACTTTCTGAAGCAGTTCTGGAAGTCCTCTTTCATGTCTTTAGTTGAACTGTCATATCTTCCTCAGTGTCCTGAAGTGATTCAAAATGCTTTTCCTGATCATTTTGCCTTTGGGGAAGAACTAGAAGTCCCAAATTCCCAAATCTAGTGAATGAGGACCTGTTGTAATGTCTGTATTTGACAGAAATGGCCATAAACATTTACAGTCTTTTACTATAATATTTTTTTGAATTTTTATTTTAAAATCCACTGTATTTTGTGATCATACTTCATAAATCTTAACTATTATTTTGCAATTTTGGAATACTGAAAATGACTAGAAGTTCCTGTGGGTTTCATACTGCACTGTTACTATTCTGGGATTCTTTAGTGGATGAAATCCCAGCTTAAAATTTGTCACCTGCATCTGTGTTACAGGAGTGCAGTGTTTATTTTTAAGACATCATACCAAAAAGAAGTTCTACAAAATGAGGGTGTCAAATGTTCTGTTGAATTTCATTTAGCATTATTAAAGTTTACTGTCCAGTAAAATAAGTGAATCTGTGGTTTGCGTTTCTGAGAACTTCATCTTTTCCAGAAAAACCTGCTGGGTTTAGGACAAGTGGGATTGGTCACTGTTAACCATAGCTGTTGCTCACCCCTTTGAAGCACTAAATCTTTTACTTATATGACTTTTTTTTTTTTTTTTTTTGGCTACTGGGGATCGAACTCAGGTCCTTGAGCTTGCAAAACAGGTAGCGGAACCACTGAGCTAAATCCTCGGCCCTATATGACCATTTTTTTGGAGATCCCTCCAAGATGGGCCACATGAGTTTGTAGGTTCTTAATTTAAGTTGTCCTCATTTACCCAAGGCCCTGCAGATGACAGTAAACCTTCACAGATCTGGGAGGGCTGCAGAGATCTGTCTGTCAGGAACTTCCAGCTGCTGACCAGTTGGCTCTCAGCTGCTGGGCAGGTGCACCTGAGGAGGGAGCTTTACCCACTGGACGTGTTCACAGCTTTCAAAACTAGTAAGAAGTAGGGAAAACAGGAGCAAACAACACCGGAAGTGACTTGTCAATACTAACTCTAGCACTTGGAGAATCGGTGCTTCTCCATGTGTGGGGCATGATGGGAGAGGCACAACAGGCAATTCATCAAAACCTCATGGCAGGTGTATGGAGTGCAGGTCTTCCTCCCTTTGTAAGTGAATGGTTAGCCTGCCCAGGTTACAGCCTTGAGGGCCGGTCAGAGTCTCAGGGCTCTGATGCCACAGCCTCACTATGACCTGCAGTTCACAGCTCCATGTGCATGGTGTCTGAAGTGTACTTGTTGAGGTCCCCACATTCAGAAAGGATTTGTTGTTCACTTTCCTTTTCATCTTGGGGCAATCTGTGAGGTGAGTATTATTATCCCCCATCTTATACACGAAACTCAAGTAAAAGACTGGCCCAAGGGCACAAAATTAAAGTGACTGAGCTTGAATACAGCCCATGTTACCTGATCCATCAGGAGTCTACAAACCAGAAGATCTCAATCTGTGCCCTTTGATACCCTCAAATACCACATGTCCCTCACACATCCACAGCAGGACGGGGGAAGGTTGCGGGGTCAGATTGTACATAGAAGAGAGTCACCCACTCTGATAAAGGGGAGCAGTGTTGTGGTTCTTCCTGTCCAACAATGACTAATGTTGAACTCTGCATGGCCTTTAGAGTTTGCAAAGTTCTGGATTGTCTGCTGCTCTTCACATCGTCCTTCCTAGTAATTACTGTGGGCAGTTTTATAGGTGGGAAATCTTCAAGCTCAAGACTGTCCAAATTGCCAGGGATTTAGCTCAGTGGTGCCACCACCTGCCTCACAAGCACAAGGTCCCAAGTTTGATCCCCAGTACAAAACAACAACAAAAAAGACTGTCCAAGTCAAGTTCTTTTCATTTGTACTATGGATGCCTCTTTCACAAAAGCTTTGCCACATCTAACCTGCCCCAGACACCTGTTTAACCCACTATTTTGTTCTATGTCATCTTCTTTAAAGAATAGAAGACACCTGAACAATACCCCACTCCACTCACCCAGTCAACCCTTCTCTGTCCACCTCTGCTAGGGTCACCAACTGCTCTATGACCTCCATTATTTGCATTTCCAACCTATAGAATCAAAGTCAATCAACTCACTGGAACCCCAGTGGTCATCCTCCCTCATTTGCTCCTAACAGATGGGTAACAGACCCCAAAAGAGGAAGGGACACTCCTTAGATCACAGAAGAACAATTGTAGCCCTCTTCTCTCTCAACCTCCTTCCATCACTTCTACTTTCATCAAAAAACCCTTGTCTCCTGCCACTTTGAACTCCTTGTTCCTTCCTTCCTAACTTCAATCTTCTGCCACTCTGTGCCCTGTGAGAGTACCACCATCCAGACAGCATGCCCTCTTGCTAGTTAGGAGATGCAGAGCTTTGCCAATGACAGTTTCTTGCCTGTCCCTGGTTAAACAGCAGCCCCTGGGTGGAGAGAAGGCTAGAGTTTTGCTATGTTGACTCCTGAGCCAAGAGGCTGATTGGAGCCAGCAGCAATGTCTGGATCAGAACTGGGCAGGGGGTGGGGGAGACAGTACTTATAGTGAAGGGGACCAGTCCAGAAATGTTGTGTTTGTCTACTTGGGTTTTCTGATATTCCTGAAATTAGTTTTCTAACTTTAATGATAATCCAGAAGATAAGAGTTTTTTCCAACAAGAAACTGTTTCAGCAACATGGACCAACCTGGAGTGAAGTGGAATAAACCGGGCACAGAAAGAAAAAGTGCATGATCTCACTCCTGGAACCTAAAGAAGCGGATATCATAGAGAGTTGAACAGTGATTTCTAGAGGCTGGGAAGGATAGTGAGGAGGAGGGGAGAGGGAGAGGTCTGAAAATGGGTACAAAGCTACAGTGGGAGGGACAGTTTTGGCTAACAACATGGTATCGAATATTTCAAAATGCCTAGAAGAGAGTGTTTTGAATGTTCTCCCCACAAAGAAAAGATAAATGTATGAGATGATGCATATGCTGACTTCTGATTTATTATAGAATGTATACCTGTATCAAAAACCACACTACATGCCATAAATATGTACAATTGTCGTGTCAATTAAAGGCAAATTTTTTTAAAAATAAGGATTTGACCATGAAAAAAGTAATATTTTTTTAATTAAATGGTAAAATAATCCTATTGTTCACTTAGGCTTTTTCAACACATTGACATTTATGTCTCCAACTAATAATGCCCTATCTGAGATATATACTTTGTTCTTTATAATAATCCCTACTATTATATATTGAGGTTTCCTCAACTTTTTGCTACTACAAGCAGCCCAGAAGAAAATAATTGACTTTAAATTCTGGAAGTAGATGTATAAAAGTTTTAAAGGAAAATTTGGAAAGCAAAAATGTAGAAAACTGGAAAATAAACCAGCACATGAAAAGGTTTCAAACCTGCTTAACAGCACACCAAAAAAATAACCAAGTCTCAAAAAAAAAAAAAATACTAATTAGCCACGTTTATTTTCAAATCAAGTTACCATGTTACCAGCTTACAATCAGCCAAATTGTAGGCTCCCTTTGCATTGTGAAACCCAGAATCCTAGCTTAACATTTCAGCTCAGTAGAATAAGACAGTATCACACACCAGGACATATGCAATGCACCACTCTGAAACTATTAGCAAGGTGACTGCATTAGTCAGGACTCTCAGTTGCTGGTGACCGGAACTCAACTCTTAACTTAGGCAGAAAAGGGAAGTTTTTAGGAAGCTACTGGGGTAGATCATAACATTCAAAGAAAAGTTGCATTGTGGAACTAGGGGAAGTGCAAGTATATAGCGAGTCTTTGAGATTCAAGGGAACTAGGAATTTAAATGCCACCAGAACACCATTTCTTTATGTAAAATTTCATTGTCTTTTATTATGGACTGGTTTCTTACTTGTGGCAGAAAATGGACAACAGCAACCAAGCCTTCCATCTTACTGATTCTGTCACTAAGGAGGATGTAGAAAAGATTTCCGTGAAAGACTA